TCAGGTCAAATTCGTCAGAAATTTTATTTAAACGATTATTAATAACCGAAGTGAAAACTTTGCCAAGGCACGAGACTAAAGTGATCGCTCTATAATTATCCGGATCTTTTGGATCGCCTTTGTTTTTATATACTGGTTTTATAATACCGATCTTCCACACATCTGGTATAGACGCAGTATTCAGAATAAGGTTAAATATTTTTTGATAAATTGGTAAAAATACATCCATTGTACTTTTTAGATATTCATTTAGGATTTGATCTATACCAGAGGCTTTACTATTCTTCAAATTGATTAAAGAAAATTTAATTTCATCAGTGGTAATTTCACCATTCAGATAATCATCAAAAATACTATTATCAGGATTTTCCAGCTCAAAATCGTCATCATCATAAACAGACTTGTTCAGATCCTTAAAGTATTCATATAATTCAGTAATACATATATCAGCATTACCTTTCTTTACAGATCCGTCACATTTATTCAAAATATTCCAGAATTTTTTTGAATCCATTCTAGCAGTATTTCTTAACTCGCTTGACAATTTCTCCTGATAATTTCTGTAATTTTTATTCAATGTTTTTCTATAAACTTTACTAGCTCTATTGAGATTAGTTTTATTTATAGGATTATTTACTTTGTGAAATAAGGCCTTGGCTTTATTAAATTCAACTCTGTTTAAGTGGCATTCCCTATTAAACCAAGGTTTATTATCACATCTCAACCTCCGTTTCCTGTAAGCATTGTTACTACCAAAAACCTGCTTAGCAGAGCCTTTGAACAATTCACTAATTGAGTTTACAATGTCATTAATTTCGTTATTGGTTACATTGTCGTGTTGTTTATTTAATAATTCATTTAATTTATCATTAATTCTATGGAGATTACCTCTTTCATCATCTAGTATATGTTTTACAAAATCTTGTTCTTTACAGGATTTCCACTTTGTATATCGATTTTCATGACATTCGGTATTATATATACATTCATCAGTTAATTTACAAAGGCTAAATACAAGTCTACAGTGGACATCTGATATGAGTGGGTCAAAAACTTTGATTTCAAAATCTGTTGTATACCGAAACATATCTGACGACAGCAATAGATAATCTATAACGCTGACATCACTACATGTAGTTTTACCTATTTGTGCATCATTTCCAATCCGACCATTGGCAATATACATATTATTTTTCCTTGCAGAAGTCAAGCAATTTATTGCCATAATTATTAACTTTAGCTTTACATTGACTAGCCCTTCGCAGAGGAACATTATATAATTTCAACTTTTCAATATCATAGAGATATGAGTATAGCTCATCATTTTCATCTAAGTTTAATGAACGAATGAAGTTATCATCTGGTTCTACAAAATCATCTCTAACTTGGGTTTTAGCATTAAAATCTCCGACTATGGCGACTTTGTTACCATGATGATAGACGCTTGTCTTCCACCAAATCGAGGTAGATTAAGGTCAGCATGTAGGCCGACACAATGTACTCGGTCAAAGTAAACAGGTCTTCATTATGGTAAAATCAGAAATACCTTGTTATATGGAAATCGAGTTATGAAAACATCGATAAAAACAAATAACGTGTATGGTATATAAACGTCACGATATGCAACTGATGTGTGATTCCTTTAGTTTCGATTTCCAGAGAATAAGTCCTATGTATTTAATTATTGAAATTCTTGAGGTCACACAAAACATCCATCATATAAAAATGAAATATAAATGCACTAAAAATAGAAATATCAATATTCAGAAATTCATCTTTTTATATAAGTCACATGACAGTGATATCATTACTTTGGTGTCAAGTGTAATGAATATGCCATGGTATGAATTCATGCAAATCAACATTAAACGTATGATGCTAATACATCGTTAATAATCTGTCATAAATAAGTGAACAAACAAATGAAAAAATAAATATGTGTCATAAAACACTCCCTCATTTTCATAACATGATTATTTATATATTATGCCTTTTTATTTGTATATAATTCAACAAATGTATATTGCAAAATGTAAACAATCACTACCCATTGGATAGCGTCTATAACCTGTTGTCGTTATACGTTGTGACGGTAAGTTAACAGTGGACAAAAGGAGACAAAAAAAATGTAAATAGAAAAACAGATCTAGAAAACAATAAGAAAACTCGAGAGGAATTGTTTCACCACATATTTCCTTAAACCCAACACCGAGATGGTTCTCAAATCGCGAACAATACACAAAACATTATTGCAGAAGAAAAACAATATATCGATTGTTATAGACAGACATCCTGACTATAAGGAAGGATTTCTGCAAATTATGACTTTAAAGCAAACATACAACAATACTTATTTCACATATAGGGAACTTGTAATAATAGGGTAGAGACGTTTACTAGAAATCGAATCCCACAACGTTGAACCTTGTACGTCTAAAATAAGATATACTAAAGCTGTGGCTATAATAGCATTAGTGCAGTGTAAAATCTGTGTCTGGTATCTAGAGAAACCGTACTTGTTATGTACAATAAACGCCTACTGACCCGTAACGTAAGAGCAGAGTATGTGGACAACTTAAAGGAGACAAAGGTTCATGTGTTGTCGCACTGATAGTAACAGAAACACATGACGCCAGGAAATGGGAAAATGACAATTTTTTACACCAGGAAATGGGGAAATGACAATTTTTCACAAATCTTTTGCCACTTATTTGGTGACATAAATATAATTCACACAAAAACATATAAACAAATAAATATGTCCAACTGACAGAAGTGAACCCGTGACATTCGACATTATTTAATTAATGTACCAAAACGACTAGTCTACACACCGCACCCCACTCCGACATTTCTTATTGTACCACTCCGACATTACTTATTGTACCACTCCGACATTACTTATTGTACCATGAGACTAGATCCGCCCCCCACTCCGACATTACTTATTGTACCACGAGACTAGATCCGCCCCTAGATGTCGGTAGATTCAGTTTTACACGATAAAAAGCAAGAGATTCTGTGCCAGCTGACTGAATTACTTATCGGACGGCTTACTATCAAAGCAAACATGCAAAAACATTACCTATAACTTAAATCACACATAGGGAGCTTGTAAAAACAATAATCGGACAGAGAAGTTCTACTAGAAATCAAATCCTACAAGTTTGAACCTGGGTGTCTCAAACAGAATAGCTGTGCCTCCATGACACTATAGCATCCTGGACAATATTATCTTGTAGTATCGAATCTGTGTAGGATATCTAGTACACTGTATATATTATACGCAATAATGACTTATAATGCCGTCAATTTGACCCGTAGTGTTAGTATGGGAAGTAAAGAGCATACTGTATGCACAATGTAAATGAGACAAAGACTTAATGGTGGCCAGAGAAACACATGACGCCTGGAAATGGGAAAACGATATTCGTACACATATGGAAAAGGGACAACGACAATATTCACAAATACTTTACCACGCTTTTTAGGACATAAACATAATTCACACAAAAACCAATAAATATTTCCAACTTACAGAAGTGTACTCGTGACATTCGATATCGTTTTATTTATGTACCAAAAATACTAGTTAAAAAAATCGCACCAAAACACAAAAATATCCTCGACTGGCAGTATCATACAAATTAATCTAATACAATGTACATTATCAGACTACAATATTCCATAAGCTGAACGTTATGGTTATTCGTTGTTTGAAGAATTCTCATTTAGTTTCTATCATAAGTCACGATCTGTAGAATTTAATGTATGAAAAGGATATAAAAATAAATCATGTTTTCTTAAATAAAAGGAATAACCTAATAATTAATATTTCCTTCAAAAGCGGTTTGTAAACTTATAATACATGTCACAAATCCATTAATTCATATACAAGTAACAATAAATAAATTCGAATTCACTCGCGCTGAACTCTTTTGGAGATTATATAGCATTTAGTAATTTGATGACGCAGCGTAACTCCTGATTTCTATTATAGTTAAATGGCTCTAAGCAATAAATTACAAATAACCATTGCACTCGAAGTCCCACGAATTATGCATATCACATGGCAACACTAGGTCAATAAGACTAAAGCGAACCAATTTGACCTGTGTACCTGACCTACTAAATATCAAGTGGCCTTTGAATTAACATGAACGGTAATAGCAATGACAAGTAATATAAATAATTTCATTAGTTTTCTTTGGTAAAATGTAATGGCCGACGCTGTAGAGTCTACCAATAATGACCGACGCTGTAGAGACTACCAATAATGACCAACGCTATAGAGACTACCAATAATGGCTGACACTGTAGAGACTACCAATAATGACCGATGTTGTAGAGACTACCAATAATGGTCGACACTGTAGAGACAACCAATAATGACCGACGCTGTAGAGATTACCAACAATGGCCGACGCTGTAGAGGCTAACAATAATGCCCGACACTGTAGAGAATACCAATAATGGCCGACGCTGTAGAGGCTTACAATAATGGCCGACACTGTAAAGACTACCAATAATGGCCGATGCTGTATAAACTACCAACAATGGCCGACACTGTAGAGAATACCAATAATGGCCGACGCTGTAGAGATTACCAATAATGACCGACGCTGTAGAGACTACCAATAATGGTCGACACTGTAGAGACTACCAATAATGGCCGACGCTGTAGAGACTACCAATAATGGCCGACACTTTAGAGACTACCAATAATGGCTGACACTGTAGAGACTACCAATAATGCCCGACACTGTAGAGACTACCAATAATGGCCGACACTGTAGAGACTACCAATAATGGCCGACGCTGTTGAGACTACCAATAATGGCTGACACTGTAGAGACTACCAATAATGACCGATGTTGTAGAGACTACCAATAATGGTCGACACTGTAGAGACAACCAATAATGACCGACGCTGTAGAGATTACCAACAATGGCCGACGCTGTAGAGGCTAACAATAATGCCCGACACTGTAGAGAATACCAATAATGGCCGACGCTGTAGAGGCTTACAATAATGGCCGACGCTATAGACTATCAATAATGGACGACGCTATAGGCTACCAATAATGGCTGACACTGTAGAGACTACCAATAATGGCCGACGCTGTAGAGGCTTACAATAATGGCCGACACTGTAAAGACTACCAATAATGGCCGATGCTGTATAGACTACCAACAATGGCCGACACAGTAGAGAATACCAATAATGGCCGACGCTGTAGAGATTACCAATAATGGCCAACACTGTAGAGAATAACAATAATGACCGACGCTGTAGAGATTACCAATAATGGCCGACACTGTAGAGAATACCAATAATGGCCGACGCTATAGACTACCAATAATGGCCGACGCTATAGACTATCAATAATGGACGACGCGATAGGCTACCAATAATGGCTGACACTGTAGAGACTACCAATAATGGCCGACGCTGTAGAGGCTTACAATAATGTCCGACACTGTAAAGACTACCAATAATGGCCGACGCTGTGGAGACTGTCAACAATGGCCGACACAATAGAGACTAACAATAATGGCCGACACAGTAGAGATTACCAATAATGGCCGACACTGTAGAGAATACCAATAATGGCCGACGCTGTGGAGACTGTCAACAATGGCCGACACTGTAGAGACTGTCAACAATGGCCGACGCTTTAGAGGCTAACAATAATGGCCGACACTGTAGAGATTACCAGAAATGGCCGACCCTGTAAAGACTACCAACAATGGCCTCCGTTGTAGAGTCTACCAGTAATGGCCGACCCTGTAAAGATTACCAACAATGGCCGACGCTGTAGAGGCTACAAATAATGGCCGACACTGTAGAGACTACCAATAAAGACCGACGCTGTAGAGACAACCAGTCATGGCCGACGCTGAAGAGACTACCAGTAATGGCCGACCCTATGAAGACTACCAACAATGACCGACGCTGTAAAGACTATCAATAATGGCCGACGCTGTAGAGGCTACCAATAATGACCGACACTGTAGAGACTACCAATAAAGACCGACGCTGTAGAGACAACCATAATGGCCGACACTGTAGAGACTACCAATAAAGACCGACGCTGTAGAGACAACCAGTAATGGCCGACGCTGAAGAGACTACTAGTAATGGCCGACCCTATAAAGACTACCAACAATGACCGACGCTGTAGAGTCTACCAATAATCGCCGACCCTGTAAAGACAACCGACAATGGCCTAAGCTGTAGAGTCTACCAGTAATGGCCGACCCTGTAAAGACAACCAACAATGGCCTAAGCTGTAGAGTCTACCAGTAATGGCCGACCCTGTAAAGAATACCAACAAAGGCCGACGCTGTAGAGGCTACAAATAATGGCCGACCCTGTAAAGACAACCAACAATGGCCGACGCTGTAGAGGCTACAAATAATGGCCGACACTGTAAAGACAACCAATAATGGCCGACCCTGTAAAGACAATCAACAATGGCCGACGCTGTAGAGTCTACCAGTAATGGCCGACCCTGTTAAGATTACCAACAACGGCCGACGCTGTAGAGTCTACCAATAATGGCCGACCCTGTAAAGATGCAAAATACATATGAAGTGAAGTTCATTTGTATGGATTTCGACTTAGTGCAAACGTGAAAATAAAACTGTAACTGATCTACTGGACATAAGTTTAGAGTTCTATATTTTCCCGAATCGAAAGCTTTTATTATGTTTATGTTGCCACCAGGTGTTCAACATTTCCTTCTGTGTGTGACAACACTGGTATACTAGCGCTAGGTGAGAGTGCCTCCCGTTATTATGAAAGAAATGATGATCTTGTGGGTGTACTCTCACATTCCTAGCGACAATACCTAGCCAAGCGTCATCTATACCTAAACTATGTATATACGGAAAAGCAAAACTAAATTGTTTGGCGACCTGCATACTTGCGAGAAACGCTCCGCCTGCTAAATATGGAGGCCAATACTTGTATGGATATACCTTCCATGACAAACTCCACTTGGAGTTTCGGTCTCTCACCACCGGTTGAGTTATTCGCTGTCCTATGAAAAGTGTATCAACATCAGTCTCTGGAATAGAGTAAATATATCTCTGAATTTTGGGTAAATCGATCACAAAGTCATCGTCTACGAACAAGAGAAATTGCGCGTTTCCACAGTATTGAGTTGCCCAGTTAAATGACATTATGGACTTGAGTGTGTTGTTGAAATAAGCATCAATAAAGTCTTCCTGGACTAAATCTTTATACCTCGCAGCCTCCTGGTCAATTGTTCTCTGTAGGTCATTCGAGATGTTACGTCCTAACATGAACACTATTTTGACATTCTCTTCACTAATATTGCCCCAAGTTGTCCGTATAGCTTGCCGTAGTAAGACATTACGTACTGTAGATTTCACGAGAACTAACACTGTCCGCAAACCATTGCTCTTGAACTGACAATGACCAGGATTATTTATAAACTGGAAAGGGTGTGGATTAATCACTCCTATTCCGCCTATTTCCGTTGTCGAATTCAGCAGCTTCCTGTCGACAATACTGCGAATATCCACATGTAGCGCGAAGAACGAACTACTTTCAGGCAAACTTTGTATCCATGACTCAACGTTGTGGTTTTCTTCTTCCCTGAAGTATATTTCAGATTTATCTATGATATGAAGGAAGCAAAGTCCTACCAGAACAATCACAGCTATCACCCAGGTGACGCAAGAACGTAGTCGCTTTGGCCAGGTACCCATAAAGGAAACCGCATATATCTGGTTAGTACACCACCTAGCCATCATAGCAGATGATAATGAAATTCCTTTAAATTTAGCTTCCCATCCGACACATAATCCTCATGATTTTGTTCCTGTCGAGGATCATCGGTACGGACACAAGGAATATGTTATACTGCCGAGTCTGTTTGCACAAGAAGAGGAAGTTGTAAGAACTGTATCGTCCTTAGTGCTGATCAGTCTGCCTCTGTTACCCGGATTGAGGCCCCGGCAGGGCGGTCACACCTGGAACAAATCAAGTTTAGAAAATGAAACAAAATTTCGAACAAACAAAAATTAAATCTAAGTCCAAAGTAAGGAAATAACATATTATTTTTTTAAAATATATAGTAACACCCTATAACACAAAAGTGAATATTAATATATAAAGTAAATTTTATTTAAGGTAAGTCTTCGATGAAAGACAAGGTGAAACAAAAAAACATATTTGTTTCTTGTTACATGTCTGAAAATCGGGTCGGTAGGAAATAAAAAAAAAATTCATTTTATAAGCTTTATTTAGGAGGGATTTATAGGCTTAAACAGTGCTTCATTGAAAATTGCCAAAAACTTTGGGGTGGGCACTAAATATTAGGGTAGATAGGATAACCGGAAACAAACAAACGACATTTTTATCAGGCCTAACGTTACACATATTTTTACCTTAAGATTGCATGACCAAGAAAAATTCTTGTCAAAAAGTGATGCACATGTTTATATATAAAGGAAGTATTCCAATACAACGCTATATCTTGCAGACATTCTAGATTAAAACGACCCTCCTCTTCAAACAGTAGGCTTCCCTACACCAATCGTCATGACAATAGCCTATTTCTTGATTCAAATTGTGTTCCGTGTTAACCAAAATGCTTTAGATGACATTACCTCTAACCACACACCAAGGTACAAGAGTGGCCATGTTTACAAAGACCACATGTCAACAGGCTTGAACGTCAAGAAACAAGGGGTGAGAGCACTAGAAGCTAATGTAACGGTAAGCTTAGCTATCCGTCGAAGTGAAAAGAACGTTTACAAATTTTGTATGAACAAGTATTTATAGAATCGTGTTAACGGAGCTTAATATGTATAATTTTAAACTCAATATGCACCAAGACAGCATAAATCCAGTGATCATATGTAGATAGCCATGGGTCGGAATTCATGTCCGGCTAGCTGCACGTGTCAATTTTTATTTATTTATTTCAATGAACTGCTTAAACTTACCTGAATAAAAAATAACTGTAAATTAAACCATCACACATTTAGGTCATTGAACATCTGCTGTGTTATTAAACATGCTATACAAGAAGGTCAGTGGAAAACACGGTCGCCATTCACCATTCACCATTGTGAAGCTGGTACCTTGTAGAAGTAGATGCATGTGGTTTAGTGTATGTCGTACACATTTAATATAGTTTATGTGTGTGCTATTATGTGTATTTCAATATAATCCCGTTCGCACTGCTAGGTAGGGTTGTTGAATAGTCGGTTGTTTAAGCATTTCAAAGGCTAGGATTAGTCTGTTTGTAACCATATTTTGACTTGTATAACGCGTGCTACCTTCAGAGATACTAGATTACACCAAACGCCAGTCTGTTTATAACTATGTATTGACTTGTATAACGCTTGCTACCTTTCTAGATACTAGATTACGCCAAACACCAGTCTGTTTATAACTATGTATGGACTTGTATAACGCGTGCTACATTCATAGATACTAGATTACCCCAAACACCAGTCTGTTTATAACTATGTATTGACTTGTATAACGCTTGCTACCTTTCTAGATACTAGATTACACCAAACGCCAGTCTGTTTATAACTAGGTATTGACTTTTATTACGAGTGCTACATTCAGAGATACTAGATTACACCAAGCACCAGTCTGTTTATAACCAGGTATTGATTATACAGGATACTACCGTTATACTAGTGTTATACAGGATACTACTGTTATACCAGTGTTTTACAGGATACTACCGTTATACTAGTGTTATACAGGATACTACTGTTATACCAGTGTTTTACAGGATACTACTGTTATACCAGTGTTTTACAGGATACTACCGTTATACTAGTGTTATACAGGATACTACTGTTATACCAGTGTTTTACAGGATACTACTGTTATACCAGTGTTTTACAGGATACTACTGTTATACCAGTGTTTTACAGGATACTACTGTTATACTAGTGTTATACAGGATACTACTGTTATACCAGTGTTTTACAGGATACTACCGTTATACTAGTGTTATACAGGATACTACTGTTATACCAGTGTTTTACAGGATACTACTGTTATACCAGTGTTACTAGATTACACCAAACACCAATCTGTTTATAACCATGTATTGAATTGTATAACGCGTGCTACCTTAAGAGATACTAGATTACACCAAACGCCAGTCTGTTTATAACTAGGTATTGACTTTTATTACGAGTGCTACATTCAGAGATACTAGATTACACCCAACACCAGTCTGTTTATAACCAGGTATTGATTATACAGGATACTACCGTTACACTAGTGTTACACAGGATACTACCGTTATACTAGTGTTATACAGGATACTACTGTTATACCAGTGTTACTAGATTACACCAAACACCAATCTGTTTATAACCATGTATTGAATTGTATAACGCGTGCTACCTTAAGAGATACTAGATTACACCAATTACCAGTCTGTTTATAATCATGTATATACTTGTATAACGCGTGGTACCTTCAGAGATACTAGATTACACCAAACTCCAGTCTGTTTATAACTATGTATGGACTTGTATAACGCGTGCTACATTCAGAGATACTAGATTACACCAAGCACCAGTCTGTTTATAACTATGTATTGACTTGTATAACGCTTGCTACCTTTCTAGATACTAGATTACACCAAACGCCAGTCTGTTTATAACTAGGTATTGACTTTTATTACGAGTGCTACATTCAGAGATACTAGATTACACAAAACACCAGTCTGTTTATAACTATGAATCGACTTGTATAACGCGTGCTACATTCAGAGATACTAGATTACACCAAACTCCAGTCTGTTTATAACCATGTATGACTTGTTTAACGCGTGCCACCTTCAGAGATACTAGATTACACCAAATACCAGTCTGTTTATAACCATGTATTGAATTGTATAACGCGTGCTACCTTAAGAGATACTAGATTACACCAAACGCCAGTCTGTTTATAACTATGTATCGACTTGTATAAAGCGTGCTACCTTCAGGGATACTAGATTACACCAAACATCAGTCTGTTTATAACCATGTATGACTTGTTTAACGCGTGCCACCTTCAGAGATACTAGATTACACCAAGCACCAGTCTGTTTATAACCAGGAATTGACTTGTATAACGCGGGCTACATTCAGAGATACTAGATTACACCAAGCACCAGTCTGTTTATAACCAGGTATTGATTATACAGGATACTACCGTTACACTAGTGTTACACAGGATACTACCGTTATACTAGTGTTATACAGGATACTACTGTTATACCAGTGTTTTACAGGATACTACTGTTATACCAGTGTTTTACAGGATACTACCGTTATACTAGTGTTATACAGGATACTACTGTTATACCAGTGTTTTACAGGATACTACCGTTATACTAGTGTTATACAGGATACACATCAGTCTGTTTATAACCATGTATACACCAGTCTGTTTATAACCAGGTATTGACTTGTATAACGCGTGCTACCTTCACAGATACTAAATTGCACCAAACACCAGTCTGTTTATAACCATGTATTGACTTGTATAACGCGTGCTACCTTCAGAGATACTAGATAACACCAAACACCAGTCTGTTTATAACCAGGCATTAACTTGTATAACGCGCTCTACCTTCAGAGACACTAGATTACACCAAACACCAGTCTGTTTATAACCAGGTATTGATTATACAGGATACTACCGTTATACTGTAATAAACAATACTACCTTGATATTGTAATACAGAATACTGTCGTCAAACTGTAATACAGAATACTACCGTTATACTAGTGTTATACAGGATACTACTGTTACACTAGTGTTATACAGGGTACTACTGTTATACTAGTGTTATACAGGATACTACTGTTATACCAGTGTTTTACAGGATACTACTGTTATACCAGTGTTTTACAGGATACTACCGTTATACTAGTGTTATACAGGATACTACTGTTATGCTAGTGTTATACAGGATACGACTGTTATACTAGTGTTATCCAGGATACTACCGTTACACTAGCGTTACACAGGATACTACCGTTAGACTAGTGTTATACAGGATAATACTGTTATACTAGTGTTATCCAGGATACTACTGTTATACCAGTGTTTTACAGTATTCTACTGTTATACCAGTGTTTTTCAGGATACTACTGTTATACCACTGTTATACAGGATTCTACTGTTATACTAGTGTTTTACAGGATACTACTGTTATTCCAGTGTTTTACAGGATACGACCGTTATACTAGTGTTATACATGATACTACCGTTATACTAGCGTTTTACAGGATACTACCGTTATCCTAGTGTTATACAGGATACTACGGTTATACTAGTGTTATACATGATACTACCGTTATACTAGCGTTTTACAGGATACTACTGTTATGCTAGTGTTATACAGGATACTTCCGTTATACTAGTGTTATAAAGGATACTACCGTTATACTAGCGTTTTACAGGATACTACTGTTATTCTAGTGTAATACAGGATACTACTGTTATTCCAGTGTTTTACAGGATACTACTGTTATACGAGTGTTATACAGGATACTACGGTTATACTAGTGTTATACATGATACTACCGTTATACTAGTGATATACAGGATACTACTGTTATTCTAGTGTAATACAGGATACTACTGTTATTCCAGTGTTTTACAGGATACGACCGTTATACTAGTGTTATTCAGGATACTACCGTTGTACTAATCCGCGTGCTGACCATTTTTTCATAGGTTACATACATATCCTTTGATATTGGTGTAAAACAATATGTCGACATTCTAACAGTTTTACGGTTGTAATATGGGTGTGGGTGTCCACCACTGTTATACTAGTGTTATAGAGGATACTACTGTTATACCAGCGTTTTACAGGATACTACTGTTATACTAGCGTTATACAGGATACTACTGCTCTACCAGTGTTTTACAGGATACGACCGTTATACTAGTGTTATGCAGGATACTACTGTTATACTAGCGTTATACAGGAGACTACCGTTATACTAGGGTTATACAGGATACTACCGGTGTACTAATCCGCGTGCTGACCCTTTTTTCATAGGTTACATACATATCCTTTGATATTGGTGTAAAACAATATGTCGACATTCTAACAGTTTTACGGTTGTAATATGGGTGTGGGTGTCCACCACTGTTATACTAGTGTTATAAAGGATACTACCGTTATACTCGTGTTATACAGGATACTACGGTTATACTAGTGTTATACATGATACTACCGTTATACTAGGGTTATACAGGATACTACCGATATACTAGTGTTATACAGGATACGACTGTTATACTAGTGTTATAGAGGATACTACTGTTATACCAGCGTTTTACAGGATACTACTGTTATACCAGTGTTTTGCAGGATACTACTGTTATACAGGGTACTACTGTTATACTAGTGTTGTACAGGATACTACTGTTATGCTAGTGTTATACAGGAGACTACTGTTATACTAGTGTATACAGGATACTACCGTTGTACTAATCCGCGTGCTGACCATTTTTTCATAGGTTACATACATATCCTTTGATATTGGTGTAAAACAATATGTCGACATTCTAACAGTTTTACGGTTGTAATATGGGTGTGGGTGTCCACCACTGTTATACTAGTGTTATACAGTATACTACTGTTATACTAGTTTTATACAGGATACTACCGTCATACTAGTGTTATACAGGATCCTACTGTTATACCAGTGTTTTGCAGGATACTACTGTTATACCACTGTTATACAGGATTCTACTGTTATACTAGTGTTATAGAGGATACTACTGTTATACCAGTGGTTTACAGGATACTACCGTTATACTAGTGTTATACAGGATACTACCGTTGTACTAATCCGCGTGCTGACCCTTTTTTCATAGGTTACATACATATCCGTTGATATTGGTGTAAAACAATATGTCGACATTCTAACAGTTTTACGGTTGTAATATGGGTGTGTGTGTCCACCAAAATATCTACATAAAATTGTTGTATATTAAATATAATAACCTACCTTTCTATCGATGTAATTACGACCAGCAAACACACACACACATGTATATGTGTAGCTTGAGCGTTATTGATCCGTGCGTCACCTAGACCTAATTGTCCTACCTGAGCTGACTGACTGTATTGGCCACTGTACTATGTCCATCGCCGTGGCAGAACTGAGCACCTGCGGCCAGCTTCGTGTGTCCATCCTAAGTATGGTCTTACTGGTCACTCAGCACGTATTCCACAACCCGTTGGTGTAATCAGCACGAAAATCACATGGATTTCGCGTTTTGACATCATATCCGTTGTCGACTTACTCTGTTACTGTGTAAGAGAGCTCGAGACTCGTACGTGTACTATACACAGTGCGTAGATGGAATAGATGTTATCGACAGTTGTGGCTCCACACGTCGCTGGTTCAGACACAAAGCGTTGATCGCCTTGGGTCGGGTTCGATCAATAGTGGTCGACGTAATTACTGGCAAAGACTGTCCGCGGACAGGCCACTGGTCATTTACGTAGAAATACATGAACGCTAACTTTCGCTCTCTACACCCCTGGAATACGTCATAGCAAAATTGAAGGCACGAAGATGGCTGCTTGATTGGTCTCGCGTAAAAAAAAACCTGATCAAACGCTAGGCTGATACCTGTCCTTTGAAGATTATAAAGGAGAGACGCCCGACTTCAAGTTTTACCCGGCGTTACGTGACCGCGAGATGGCGCACACTGAGCCTTTAATTTTGCTATGACATATTCCAGGGGTGTAGAGAGCGGAAGTGAGCGTAACACCTGGATATCGAGGATGTGTATATTCGTACAGTCTTCTTAGTTGACACCGATTTAAATAAAGTTATACTTTAATAGCATGGTATTTTTTTCACTTCCTAATGTTACATATGCTTATACCTGAATTGAAAAAGCACTGATTTCGCTAATATTTTGCAAGGAGTTTCACGAACTTCCTGTTGCATTGGGTGTACTAATATCCCTCAAGACCACGGAATTAGATTTGTTATCTAAGTCCGTGCTTAAGACGGACCGTTTTTGAAAAAGCGTCCGATAGCAATCACTTTCTCATAACATCGGAAATTCCACACATTCCCAGACCCAAGTATGTAAGATGTACAAAACGAACGTTCCTGCAAATCATGAAAACCATGCCAGTCAAAAAGTAAAAGTCGAGCCATATATTGAAAACTGTAAATGACATTAAGTCTCTTGTTAGTTCCTCCAATTTAAATATCCGAAAAATGTAGAATTAGTATGACTTATAACCGGACAGGAATTGGACTTAGACGTACAAGTATATTATGGGTTTAACCATATAAATGATTTCATAAATGTCTTTTCATTTAGGAATCCATTTGAGAAGGAACGCCACATTCTCTGGACACTCCATGTGTCGTCTGCTTTGGTGATGTATGGTTAAGCCAATCGTCGACTAATGTTAAATTAATTTTACCGCTTATTCGTCAAAGAATTTGTGACCAAGGTCAACAACATTTAAGAGGTTTACTAGAGACTTCCTCTAAGTGTTTTTTATACAAGTGTATCGTAGACCACTTTTCCATTCAGTATTATTTAACCAAATATATTCCTTAGAATTATAGAATTAGTCTAACAAAGTTACGAATGTCTGCACATTCATTAGCAATCGAGACCGGTAGATATCGCAACGTTATTCGAGAACAGAGATATTGTACGAACCGTAATTCGGTTACAGAAGTCGAAGATGAATACCATTTTATTCTGATATGTAAAACCTACCAAAACTTAAGAAGTCGCCTTATTAAAAAGTACTATTGGAAAAAGCCATCCATGTTTAAATTTATACAATTATTGTGTGTGAACAATACTAAGGAATTATGTCAACTTGGTAAATATATTTTTGAAGCTAACAAGTTAAGAATCTAATTTATTTACTCCACTCTCTCACTGTGTATTGTGAGCCGTGTTATTGTGTATATTATGCATTGTATTGATATGTTTGTACTGATGGGCCGTAAGGCCGAAAGTTAATAATGAATTGAATTGAAATATACTTAGTCTACCGTGACTCTCATTTGTATGTGCCACGCCCCTGTGGTGGTACAATTGTAAAGTCTGTTTTGATTCGATTTATTTGGTACACTGCACATACTCAGTTTAGCAGTCCTGAACTCCAAAGGGGTGTTCTCGTTTCCCCCACTTTTTATATAACAAAGGAAAGTGTTGATTTAGGAAGACAATGGCAAACCAATTAAAGTCTGTTTCATACTTACCCCACAGGTAAGTTACCTGTGGGAAAGTTACCTGTGTGACTTGTAGCTTTGTTGTATATGTTGGGTATAAATAAGGTTTTAATACTTTTTTGGGGTTCAAATATCTTTATATATAATCGATATATTTTTATACTTATACATATGTAGAGTTTACAGTCAAATATTTAAATTACACTTTTAATATTGAATATAACAGCACTACATAAGAGTTCACAATCGAGTATTTCACTACTTATACATAATGATTTCATTTCAATTATATTACAATTTTTAAACATACAACCGTCACTGCATATTAATTATATTAATTTATATTACACGGTTAGGCCAACAAATACAAGACAAGTTAACTTTAACATTACATTTCAAGTTTTTTCAAGTTTTATTTTTACACTCACGCCACAAGTATACGTGCGTAACAAGAGGTCACATAATACATAGTATACATTGATGGACATATTCCAAGATATGTGTACGAATCTTGTATTTCTAAAATCTCATTATTCAACGTAAAGTGATGGTCTCTTTTACTTTTTCTTTTTCAAAAATCAAAACTTTAGTTTTTTGGGTATTAATGGTTAATTTCCATATATTACAATAATTTTGGAATTCATTCAATGCGTTCTGTAGGCCATCTGGTGTTTCTGACAAAAGCACTGTATCATCAGCATATAATATAATAAACAATTTTAAGGACAAACCTAAATTTTGATCACTAAGAGCATACACTTCATTCAAACAAGAAACATTACGTTGATTGAGGAAATCCTTTAAATCGTGAAGAAAGAGGGAAAACAAAAATGGCGATAAGTTTTCTCCTTGTTTTACCCCGACATTGCACATGAAAAAGTCGGATGTATCATTACCATTAATTACGCATGATTTGGTATTTTAATATAAATTATAAAGGACTTTAAATGTTTTGCCCGTAATGTTACTATTTTGTAATTTTCTCCACAAGCCTGCTCGCCACACCGTATCAAAGGTCTTTTTAAAATCAACGAATGAACAACATAACTTTTTACCCTTTGAAAAATATAAAGAAATTAGGGAATGCAATATAAAATTGTTTTCATTAGTAGAATATCCCTTTCGAAATCCCGCTTGGGCGGATGATATCAGGTTTATCTTATCAGATAATTTTGTTAGTCTACCATTAATTATAGAGGTAAATACTTTTCCCAAGCATGACTGACACCAGAGTTATCGCCCTATAATTATCCGGATCGCCCTTGTTACCTTTATTTTTTATATAGGTTTAATACATTTATACCAACTGTCCATTCTTGGGGTATTAACCCAGTGTTGAGAATGATGTTGAAAAAATCTATATATAAAGGCAAAAACTGATTGAGAGTATTTTTTATATATTCATTCCGTATTTCATCGATTCCGCTCGCTTTATTATTTTTTAAGCTTTCTATCGATCGAATGATTCCGTTTCGGTAATTTCAGCATTGAGATCTTCAGAGACTTCATCGTTATCAATAACTTGTAGAAGTCCTTCATTATTATCTTCCTCATAGCTAGCTGAATTTAAATTTTTTTAAATAGTTATAGAGTTCGGTTATTGGTATATTAGCTTTTGACGATTTTGGTTTACCCGAAAACCTAGTTAGAATATTCCATAGGAATTTTGGACTCTCCTTTACTGAATCTCTTATTTTATTTTCCATGTTGAATGTAAAGGTTTTGTATGCTTTATTTACCTCTTTCCTGTAATTAAGACTTTTCCTTTTCAAGGCGTGCTTGTTAATATAATTTTTTAATTTACGATAGTTCTGTTTGGCTTTGTGAAATTCTTTTCGAAGCTTTTTACAATTTGATGTAAACCATGGTTTGTTATTTTCATGAATGTTTCCGCGGTAAACAGATTTGCGACCGAATGACTGGTTGGCAGACGTGGTAAATATATCTGTAATATTTTTAGTTACATCATTAATATCTGCATTAGTTATTTGGTCGGTTTCCTTAGCTTTCAAATTTTTAACATACTCGTTCAGCGTAGCAAGTTTATTATCATGATCATCTGCAATAAGATTAGTAAACGAATTACTTAATTGATCCTTCCATTTCACGTAATCGCCGTTTTTGTCGGTTGCATAAGGATTTTCGTATAGAGTATTTATGAGTTCAGACGCCCCTTCGAACTTAAATTCAATACAACTATGAACATCGGATAATAGTGGATTAAAATCAACAACCTCAAAATATGTTACTACTTTGAATAAGTCGGCAGTTAGTAACAAATAATCAATAAGAGGCGAGCCATTACAGGTATTTTTCCCATTAAACTGATCACAACCAATTCTACCATTTGCTATATATATATTATTATTCTTGCAAAAGTCTAGTAGTTTATTGCCAAAATTGTTAGTTTTAGCCTTGCATTCACTATAACGTTGTAGTGGAATGTTATATAATTCTAGTTTTTCAAAATCATACATGATTTTATAGAGATCATCATTTTCATCTATATTCAAAACATTGAGAATTGGACTATCCGGAATAATATAGTCTTGCTTCTTCTCAGTTTTAGCGGTAAAGTCTCCTATTAAGGCTACTCTGGTGTCATTGCTACACAAGCTAATCATTTCAGACTCCACATCGGAGAATGCATCGGGAGAAGAGTACTTGGAACTTTCGGGAGGAATATTACGTACACCCTAATACCATATCATAATCTATATTTTTAGCCCAACATCATCTGATGGTGGGCTATTCAAATCACCCTGCGTCGGACGACCTTAAACAATTCTTGTTATCGGTATTTCTCAAGAAGTGCCTGAGGGATCTTTTGAGACTGATCGGATAAACAACATGACCGAAAGGCAGCCATCTTGGATTTTGATATTGAAAGTTTGTTATCGCTATTTCCCAAGAAGTACCTGAGGGATCTTTCTCAAATTTTATATGAAGGTTCCCCTTAGTCCTCAGCTGTGCAGAGCAACTTTTGAGACTGATCGGATAAACAACATGGCCGACAGGCAGCCATCTTGGATTTTGATTGTGAAAGTTTGTTATCGCTTTTTCTTGGGAAGTATCAGAGGGATCTTTCTCAAATTATAAATGTAGGTTCCCCTTGGTTATGAATTGTGCAGGGCAAATTTTGAGACTGATCAGATAAACAACATGGCCGACAGGCAGCCATCTTGGATTTTGATTGTGAAAGT